GAGAGGAGAGGAGAGGAGGGGGGTGAGGAGGAGAGAGGGCTGGGAGAGGACGAGTGTGGCGGAAGGAGCAGGAACATGGAAGGAGGGGCAGTGGGGGGAACAGGCACAGAGGCAGGCACAGAAAAGAGGAAGGAGACAGTGACGGAAACTGAAGCCATCCAATATGTATTTTATCTGTTTCACAGCAGCAAATCGATGTCTCCTTATTTTTAAATAAAATCGGCTCTGCTTCTGCAGTATAAGCGAGAGCAGGCCAAGCAGGTTTCTGCACGTGCCGCGTCTGCTCTCAACTCTCCCTGGGGAGCGCCTGGAGATGGACGGACGGATATTGGAAATGGCTTTCTGAATAGCATTTGTCATCCGCATGCCTATATTGAATAATTTTAGTGAAACATTTCATAACCGTCTGCAATATTATGCTTTTACAACAATGGGGGGTTATAAAGGAGATCACAGAGAGAAAATAAGCAGCTCTTCCAGAAACACAAATTGACAGACGCTGCATGAACAGGACACAGTCCTGTCCCCAGCCCTGCGGTGGTTAGGACAATTCACTGGGCAGGACAGGTCTCACACACCGTTCTTAAGAATTGTGTTAGGATAATTTTTAAAGACTGTTTACCTTTGGCTATTTTTTGATAAGCAAATGGAAATTCCATAGCTAGTCCTGGAAGGAAATTCTGCTTTCGATGCCTAAAAACCACTGTCAGCGCAGGTAGTGTCACACCTACCGTTACAGGGAGGCAGCTGACACGCTCGGACAGACTCGGGCTTTTCCCCGTCGCAGTGGTCTCCAGCCCTGCAGAGCACCTGCCTCGCCTCGGTCCCCTCACCGCAGGTCACGGAGCACTACAGAGACAAAGGCTGCCATTATAGACGGTTATTGCACCGAGGCCGTCTTTCTTCGAACCTTCCCCACACTCACACACATGCACACACGCACGCTCTGGAGCTCTTTCTCCATGGAGGTGGTGTTACCCAGTGGTCTGGAGACAGAAAATCCTAGGTTTATACTCTGGCTCCATGATTTACCAGCCTAGGCACATGGCTTTTTCTCTGAGAGGTGGGATAACATTTGCCTCATAAGATTGTTGTAGAACTAAATGAAGGGAAAGAAGACAAGGTATGTAAAGATTCTGCCTGGCACGTAATGAGCATTCTCTATGAAAGAAGCCATTAGTGTCACGATGTTAATATCTGCAGTTCCTAAAACAGTAGTGGGGCTTGTTTTCAGGGGGCTGATCATGGTGTAGACTGTTTTCTGACCTTCCTTACAGACGGCAGGATTTACTGACACACTGCCTTGGTTAATTTAACCTCTTTGGAGCCACTATTACTCTATTCCCATAAATTCATTTCTTTACAGAAGGGGCTAACTGCTCTAACACTATACTCAGAAACCTCTACGCTATTGTAGATCCGAGCTACAGAGCAGGCGCCCTTGTTCCAGGACTCCGAGGGGAAATGAGCAGGAGTCACCTCGGGTCTGTTCAGGTGACCCTCGCTTGCCCATCCTTCCTTGTTGGGCCTGCTCTTCACCTCCGCCTCCATTCCCTATCTGCTTTCGGATGCCCTTTCCTTCTATAAGCTCTCCCCCTATGACCCTGTGACGACTCAGTATGCTTCTTTACAAATACCAAAGACATGAGGTTCATTCAGGCACCCCAACATTGAGTCAGCCAGTCACCAAACAAACACCATTGGCACAGGCACTGGCTGGTACCCGGGCAAGCAGAGCACAGGCTCTCGAGAAGTGGGTGGACTGGCGGTGAGCACAGACTCCAGGACAGGAGTTATAGCACCCTGTGTGAGCAACACCCCTTTGGATGCATAGGGAGGGCTGTGCATCGGGGAAAGGCAGTGTTTTGGGTTGCGGAGAGGAGCCTTGGTAGATGGTTAGATAGGAGGAGGGGGAAGGGCCAACCTACCAAAATGTAGGAGGCTCTAACCAGCACAGTCTTTTCGGAACAGTGAGAATTTTACTCCAACTGGGTCAAAGAGTTGGAATAAAGAAAGAATAGGCAGAGTCTGTGGTGATCATTTTGCAATACAGACAGATATCGAATCCTTCCACTGTCCAACTGAAACTAGTAACATGTCAATTACATGTTATGTCAATTACACCTCAATAAAGAAGAGTCAGTGTGGTGCCAAATGGGGCAGGGCCCTGCAGTTGGTGTCAGGGGTTTGGAATTTACCCTATAGGAATGGTGAAGTCAACAAGAATATTCAACAGAAGATCACTCACCTTTAGACTCTTCTATGTCACATGAACACCTGAACATGGTTCGCTTCTACCAACTAATCTTAAATGAAAACACTATTTTAAAATATTAATTTTGTCTAACACCTCCAGATGCTTCATGATTTCAAAATAAGTGACTCTGTCGATTCACACAAAGGCTGCCCGACATTTAAGCCAAATGAAAACAGGCTCCCTATGCTTATACACATACCGGTGCCCTGGGAATTCACACACCCACCTCACTCCAGGGCCCCGTTTTCCACTGGGCTGGGCAGGGCACTCTGTTACAAGGCCGGCGGCTCTCGGGGCGGTCCCCCACGCAGTGTTTGCTGTGCACAGAGCGGTTGGTGCCGTCGTGGAGGGGCTGAAGGCAGTGCACAGTGCGCAGCTGGTAGCCGGAGCTCCCGCAGGTTTTGGTGCAATGCTCCCACTCTTCCGCTACCCAGCTGTGGGTATGGGGGTTAAGCAAACATGGTCACTGGGGTGTAGAATGTGCACCTCCCTGCACTGCAAAGCCTAGACTCTTCTGCTCTCTGGGCGACCTGCCGCCAGGTGGGGCCCACAGTAGTACAGGCAGTTTCAGAAAGCGGGGCCCATAGCACAACTAAAAAGTCTTATAACTTTCTAATAATAATAGGCCCAGCACTTCTAGTTTTAATGGCTTAGTAATGCTTCTGCCTCTCATTGCCTCTGAAGCCCTCTCCTTTCCTAAAGGATGACCAAAAGCAGGTTTCTGAAACTCATCTTAAGAATACCTGGTTAGTTTCAGAGATGATGTTAGTTTCCAAAATAATACCAACTCACTCCCAGCCATGTTGCCCAATGGTATTAAATATCTGAAAGGAAATTTTAAAAAAGGAATCCATCTGATGCTTGCTAACACAAGTTTGGCTGCTGCTGCTTTTTCATGAAATCATGAATTTACTCATGTTTTAATTTTTGGAGATGATTTTCATTTCTACAATTGTGGCCATACCTATTCTGTTTGGAAAATTCAGTTCTTCATGGTGGCCCTTAATGGGCCTGACAAAAAGGTAAAGTTCATGTGCATCCAGGGCTTGAATGCACCTGAAAGAAATATTTCCCAAAAAACATTTTCAAAAAAGATTTCCCATGGGACATTTCCAAATTCTAGTGTCAGTGTCAATGCCCCAGCACTCTCCAAACCAGCTGTGTGTACAATATTATGGACAGCTCTCCATTACATGTGGTTACCAGTCCCAAAGGGCTGTCACCATCGATTCCATCTGCTTAATCAATCTGTCAGAATGTAATTAAACAAACTATTTAGCCTCTCTAACATTACTTTTCCTCTGCAATTTTTTCTTTCCATCTATATGGCGCACCAAAATACAATCATGCAAAAACCTTAGCTGTCTTTGGTATTAACAGTTTAAGATGGCTCTTATCAATCAGGCAGTACAATGTATTCTAGCAGCTAAGAAATTGTATGCAATTTTGAATGTCTCGGTAGTGACTCTCACTTGAAGACAGATATTTCATGAGAAGCATACACTTCATAGTCATAGACAACTATGGTTAGTTACCTTAGGCCATCTTGAAACTCCTAGAATGACAACAAAGGAGAAAAACAGCATAAACCCACAAAGGCCAAAAGAAAAAAAATTGAAAAGCCACCACAAGATAATTTTGAATCCAAGAAAGTAGTTGGACATATGGCTAGACAATCAGTAGACACAGAAAGGATGAAGCTTAACTCAGCAGGAGCTGATAAACAAACTGATGATACAGAATTTCAGAAATTTAGAGAGCTTACAGCCTCAGGTGAAAGGGTAAGCTGTTGAAAGCGCGGCTGATGGCAGGGCTGAGAATAGGGAATGATGAAAAGTCTACTAGGAGGCACGTAGACCTCCTAATCCTTAACCCGACTGGGTGATTGCCCCTCCTCTAACCCAGCAGAGGTTTGTCTTCTGTAGAAGGTGGGCCAGACTTTTAACTTGTGGACAGCGGACACAGTCAAGTGACAACAGAGAAAGAAACCATAGTGAAAAGGGGTTATGTAAAAACCCACATGTAGAATGTTGAGACAACCCTAGTTGCCTGTACATATAGAACTTCCAGAGCAGCTATTAAATAGGCATATACCCTGTTGTCAGGAGATTGATTCTATTCTATGGAATCTAAATAGATTCTAATGATCATTTTATTGGAAAAGCTCTAAATATACAAATAATTTAGGGTCTTTCAATGAAATAGCCCGGCCAGCTCATCCCCACAGTGAAGCCCACCAACAAACAAGTCTTGACCAAAAAGCAAGCTTCGAATCAGCCTGTTTAATATTGCAGTCTTATATACATGCAAGCAGCCAACAATCATCAGACACGAAAATCCTCTAACACAAATGATGAAGGTGGGGAAAAAGAAAAAAGAAGGAAACAACTCAAAAGATATAATGCAAGAAAGACAAAATAATCTTGAATATTTTAAAAGAGATAGACTATATTACATCTGTGAAGAATCATATGCCTTGAAAAAGGAAAATTTGAGTAACAAAACATGGTTCTTGGATATTAAAGCTCTCCTGAGTATTAATATAATATCAAAAATGAAAAATTCAGCAAGTGGAACAATAAACAATAGGAGAGAAAACAAAAGAAAATTAGCTCTGTCCAAGAAGCCTAACTTCAAATATCACAGGGGGAAAAAATACTGTAAAAAACACACAAACAAACAAAAAACTAGGAGACATTTTTCAAAGAAAAGATACATGAAAATCTCCCAGAGATGAAAAGTATTTGGTTTCACATTTTAAAAAGTCTACAAGTACACAGCATGAGGGATGAGAAAAGATGAGCACCAAGGCTGCTGTGAAATTTCATCGCTGTGAAATTTTCAGGATGCTGGGAACAAAAAGAAGATCCTACAAATTTAGGATAACAAAAATAGGTCCCATAGAAAGAACTGGGAATCAGAATGGCAAATGACTTTTCAACAGCAACACTGAGGTCTGAAAAATGATGGAACAATGGTTTCAAAATTCAGAAGGAAATTATATATTACAGTTTGGAATTAAGTATGTGTCCAAATGATCAAGAATGAAAGTAGAAGAAAGACTTCTTATATACCTGTATACTTTAATTTGTGTTTTCTTGGGTGTAGAAAAATTTAATTCTTATATAAAAATTTTTAATTTGTATATACTTTTTTTTCATGATGCTATTGAAGATATGATCCACCAGAACACATGGATACACCAAGAGATAAGAATATAAGGAATGCAGGGGACAGGGGAGCCAATGCCAAAGAGAGGCAGTAGGACTGGCTAGGAGGATGGTAAAAACAAACCCCAGGACAAAAGCTGTATACTTTCCAAGGCAGAGCTGGAACACAGAGAACTCTCTGAGGGAATGTCTCTAGACAGAGGCAAATGACAGGATACTTTTTAGTATTTAGAGGGGGTTGATACTCATGAAAGAGAGTTTGGGGACAGACTACTGAAAAGTAGTAAAAATAAAATAAAAATCAAGACATTCATTAACTGTAGAAGAAATGAAGTTTTACAAGAAAAGAAACAAAATAAGAGCATGCTAAGTGACTCAACTGGTAAGAGAGATGCATGTTGTTGAAATAATATAATCTCTGAATCTTACTATCAGTAAAAGATAGACTATATCAATATTGGAAGTACTGGGGAAAGGAGAAGTGTGGACTGTGGGTGTGCATTTAGAGAAGGATTGTAAATGATTGCTAAATTCTTCACTTTCCACGGAGGAAATTTGATATACATAATGCCTAAAACCTCCCCCACCTCTCCTCCCCACAAAAAGTCAAGCAGTAAAAGCAAAACCATCTTACTTAGAGAGATGGAAACAGTAGTACCAAATATCAAAAGACGTTTTTGAGGAGCAGGAGTACAGTAGAAAGCAGGGAACCACAGTTTATATAATTCCTGGGAATTGCTTTGACTAAACCAGGCATGTGTATTAGCTTTGACTAAAATTAAAGTTAAAAAGAGCTAAAGACATTCGATTCCATACTATTTCGTCCTTGGGGTGTGATGGTTGGAATAAATGCTTACAGTGGATGTGTACACTCCTGAATGTTGCACATTCTTCTAATAGGTTTCGGCTTTTTGTTGACTTCACAGAAGCTGCGATGAACCATTTTATTATCACTTTTCCTACGGCAGCCGTATTTAGTGTACTGGAAACCTGGGAAAGGAAGTACATTTCTATGGATTTAATCATTTATTCATTCTGTTATCTATCTGGTCATTTGTCCATTCACTCATTCAACAAATATTCCTGAGTGCATACCATCAGCCAGACACTGTGTCGGGTGCTGACGGTTCAGAAGTAAATTAAATAAACTTCTTATCTTTCCGGAGCCTACATTTAATAAATATTACAAATTATTAAATAGTAACTGCACACTTTCTAATAAACTGGACCTTGAACATACAGAATCTATTATCAGGGACAAGCTGGGAAACTACTGTGGCCATACCCTGTGAGCTAGGCTTTTACAGAGCCATGTACATACCTACTGTAGGGGGCACCAAAGGGACATAGAAGGGAAAGGAACTTAGCTGCAGAAAGGGTGGGACTCTTACAAGATCAGCACTTCCCTGAGCAGAATCTTGAAGTTCAAATAGGACTGCACAAAGGGAATAAAGCAGAGGAATATTCCAAGCAAAGGAACTAACATAGAAAACTGCAGGTCTCTTTGAATGACTGAAGTTTTACGTGTGAAGGGGGTGGGAGATACGAAAGGATCCAATGTAAAAGCCTGGAGGGCCAGACAAGTGTTTGGATTTTATTCTGAAGGTCACAGGGAGTTATTAAAGCTCTTCCCAAGCAACAACTTCCACATTTGCAAATACTTACTTTGAAAATTTTAAATCTAAAGAAAGCTGTAAGGAAAGCACAATAAACATTTGTACACCTCGCATCTAGATTAACCTTGTGTTACCACGTCACCATATCTGAGATGTATTATACTTATTCCCAAATGGCTCAGCAAAATTTTATATATCTGTTATATAGTAATTATATATTATATGTTATAATATCATTATAATTAATATATATAAAATATATGTATTTAATTACTATGTAATACATATGTAAAGTTTTGCAGAATCATTTAGCAGTAAGCACATTTTCTTCCATAATCACACTACAATTCTTAAAATTGGGATATTTAATGCAGATATAATACTATTATATAATATACTGACTATACTCGAAAATGTTCAATTGCTCCTATTATGTTCTATGTAGCAATGTTTTTTCCATCAAGGATACTTAGTTGTCATGGAATTAATCAGGAACAGTTTTTGAGACTCTTTTTATCTTTAATATATTTGAGATGTACAGGCCAGTTTTGTAAACTGCCCACAATTTGGGTTTATTTAATAGTCCCCTAATGGTTAGATTCAGGTTATCCCTTTTGGCAAGAATACTGCGTAAGTTATATTGTATTTCAGGGCAACACATCAGGAGATGAAAGGATTTGCATCAAGAAAATAATATAATTCTACTCATTCATTCATTCATTCATTCAAGAAGGATTATCCTGTAAATACAGGGAGGGAAGGAAATCAAGAGTTAGCTGACTAAGAGACTTTTGCAGTAATCTTCCCTTTCAAAACTGTGAAGGGAGCCGGGTGAGGAAAGGGTGGATGTGGCAGATATGAAAAAGGTGTATATGACAAATCTTATGAGCAAGTCAATGCTGAGGGTGAGCTGGAGGGAGGATCCAAACGGAAAAAAAAAGTCCTGTCATGAATAAAGTGTCATTTTACATCATTAACTAAAATACTTCATGCCTATTCGTACTCCCTCCCAAACACAGCCGCTTTAGAAATACGTTCCTGAATTTAAAATGACGAAATAAATGGCTTGAGAGTGACCCGTTTCCATCCCTCAGTGTCATTACGGGGAGAGGCCCTGCCGCCTCCTGCCTGCTGGCCAGAACTCTCTGGTGGCAGCTCGGTTCTGGAGCCCGCTGTTCAGAACCAGAGGCATGGGCGCTGGGGGGGGCCGTGAGGACAGCTTACTGGGTTTCCTCAGGGCCGGCAGCAAGAGCACGCGCTCAGCAGCAGGCCGCTGGGCCTGATTTTCCGGCCGGGCAAGTTACTGACCTTCCCTGTGCTCCGGTCTCTCCATTAATACACCTCCACAGAGACCGCAACAGCAGCGACCGCACAGGGGCACGCGCACATTCATGCGTTAATACAGAAAGCACCCAACACGTATCTGGTACACGGCGCCGCGGCGGCTCTTCGTTGCTAACACTGATAGAAAAGCGACGCACAGGCTCATGGAAAGTAAACTTGAGGAGAAAAAAGGCGGTGGCAGAAGGCACGGGACGTGTGAGAATGGGAAGAGGAAGCGATTGAGGGAACCACTGCACGGCATGGGGCCGAAAGGACGCGAGGGAAAGGGCAAGGGGGTAGCAAGAAGGTCCTCCGCCTCACCAATGGGTTCCTACCCTTCGCAGATGCTTGGATTTCAGGAAAAATGCCTGTGTTTATGTTTTAGTTATGTGTGGCATTCTCAGGTTATGGCCCCAATTAGACAATCCCTAAGGCAGAAGTAGGAAGATGGGCTTAATATGAATTACTCAGGAATGTATCGAACGTGCTCAGCCGTTACCTCCACCACAGGGTTTGGAGCACTGAGACCAGCTCTTCAGAGCCCACTCAAAAGTGTCCAGCTCTTCCTGGATGACGTTGTTGTTGTTGATCGTAGGTGCGGAGTCTTCATGGATGATGTACTTGTACGTCAGGCTAGAGCGGGTATCGTTCTCCTGAGGTATAATCTAACACACACATGAAACAGACACATGTAAGTCACCTGAGAGGGTTTTAACTTACGAATGAAAAATTTTAAATATTTCGGAATATTGCTCTTATTGAAACTGATAGACTCAAGTTGTTTCTAAAAATATGCTTTTGTTTCAATCAACTAAAGCACAAGTGTGCCCTGTTTAAGAAAAAAACTCTACTATATAAAAACTCTACTATATAAAACTTTGACCATAAAAAATATAAAAATACATACACTGAGGAGTAAGAGTTTGTATTATAAAATAACAATTTTATAATAAGATTCACTGTAAATTTCATTAAGTTATATAGCTCCTTAGTGCATTTAAAAATTATTCTTTAAAATATTGTTATGATGAGAGAGATAATAAATTCCCTTCAGAAAATACAGATTATAGAAAAATACCAAAAAAATCATTCATAATTCTACTAAATGAGAGAAATGGAAGCTACTTCTATTATATTGGGATATACCCTTCAGATATTTGCGTATTGTGTGCGCGTGGAAAAGAATGCAGTGTAATGACATAAAACGGAAACAGAGCCTCCTTCAGACCTCACAAGGTTTTGATTAGTATGTTTTGCTATAAAATGACCTAACCCATGAGACAGAATGGTGGTTCAGAAATACACCCACATACATTTATACAAGTAATTTCTGACCTGGATGAAAAAGACAATTGAACTGAAAAAGGACAGTCTTTTGGTGGTGTTTTTTCAACAAACAGCACTGTGGGGCTTCAGATGGAGCCCGCAAGTCCTTTGGCAGCTTCCCTCTCAGTGAGCGGAGCTGGAATCCCCAGCCCCTGCAGTGTGGGCTGGACTCGCTGACTGGCTTCTAGCGGACAGACCGCAGCAGACAGGACGAGGTCCCTCTCAAGACCAGGTTAGCGAAGACTGACTGTCTTGGTTGCCCTCTCACGTTCTGCGTCACCCGAGCCGCTGGTTCTAGTGGAAGCCAGCGGCCATGTGACCAAGACAGCTGAGCAGCCGACGGACAGGCTGACGTGGTGAAGGTCCCAGGCCGCCGGGCACCGCAGGAGAAAGCTGAGGGGCAACCTGAGGCCTTCCAACAGCCGGGGACCGCGCTGACTATCCCCGAGGGCTTCTCCACGGCTGACAGCAGCCTCACGGGATACCCCGAGCCAGAACTAGCCGTTTCACCCACTCCCAGACACCTGCTCCACGGACACCATGAGATCATGAATGCTGCTTTGTGTTCATCCACTGAATGCGGGGCGCTTTGTTATGCGGCAACAGATAATACAGACGTCTGTGTGCCAAACAAGCACCTGACATGTCACCCACAATTTATGTAAAAATTAACTAAAACTGGTTCATAAACCTCAATGTAAAATGTAAAACTACAGAACTTTCACACACACACAAAAAAGAGAGAGACAAAAAGTATTTTGAGTTTGGATTAGGCGAAATATTTTATATGAGACCAAAATCTTGATTCAGAAAAGAAAAAACTGATAAATTCTATTTCAATAAAGTTAAAATACAATATTTTGCTCTGTGAAAGACTAAGACAAGGAAAAAGAAGCCCTATAGACTAGAAGAAAATATTTGGCAAGTCGCATATTTCAAAGAGGGCTTACATGAAGGATATATAAAGAACTCTTAAAACTCAACAAAAGGAGACAATAACTACTTTAGCAACAGGCAAGAGATCTGAAAAGACACTTTACCAAAGGGAAATAATTTTCAAAGGAAAACAAACCCTTGGAACTGAGTGGGAAGATCTGGTTTTAGATTAGTAAAATAATTTTATAGAGAGTCTAATAAATATTTGTATAGTTTTCCAATCAAGTAGATGTCTTCTGCTTCTATCCATGAGGGAGAAATAGAGATGCCTTCCTGACATTAAAAGCAATAAAACTGGACAGAATTATATGAGGGAACTTGGGGGGGGGGTAGTAAATAATAGCACAGCAAAGGACAACGATCCCTGTGAAGAGAAAAATGCCAGGTCTGGCTTCCTGACAGGGCCAGGTCTGGACCCTGGCACAGGGAGCTGAGCTCCAGCCAAGACCACATTCTCACTGAGCTGAGGGGTAAAGAGCCGAGCTGGAATTCACAGGGCAGGCACTGAAGCCGAGGGGGCTGCGAGAGGGTGGCCCAGAGGCTGCAAGAGTTCCAGGCTGAGGGCTGGTCTGCGTGTGCCCGGGCCGAGACCCAGGCCGCCTCGCCTACCAGGGAGCTGCTGCTGTGGGCCTGGGAGTGGGGTGCAGGGGCTCGGGGTCACACGGGGCTGAGAGACCTGGGAATTCTCATCCGGCCAGGGTTCAAGAAGCCTCATTAACACCTCAGGTGTCCAGGTAATGCACCAAAAAGGCCAAGTCGTAGGAGGAAGGACAAAATGAAATAGCTCAGCCCTAGTGAAGAATAAACCAGGCCCTGAGGATCAGAAGGAACCGACAATGACGACCAGCCAAGATCAAACCCCGCAGCCTGTAAGGAAGGCGATATAAGCCAAATGCCCTACAACTTGTCATCTGTCACGCCCAGTGTACAATTAAAAAGATCATAGGAAGCGGGAAAATGACTCATTAAAAAAAATCAGTCCATAGAAGCGGGTAATATGAAGTTGTAGGACTTAAAGGAAAAGTCAGAAAAAATAAGTGGAAATATACAGAAATCTCAGCAGAGACATGGAAATGATCTTGAAAAACAGTGGAAATTCTAGAAAAGAAAAGTACACTCATAGACTGACATGAAAAATTTAATGAAAGGGCTCAGCAACAGATTGGAGACACATAAGACGCAGTCAGTGAGCCTGAACACAGCTCAACAGAAATTCTCCAACCTGAACAGAGGAGAAAAGATTGTAGAAGGATGAACGAAGCCTAAGAGACTTCTGGAACAACTTCAGCTGGTTTAACATCCATGTGAATGAGTCCTAGGAGTAGAGAAATCAGTGAGGAAGAAACAAACTTGAACACAGAATGGAAAATTAACCCAAATTTGGTGAAAAACTTCAACTTACAGAGCCAAGAAGCTTGGTGAACCCCAAGCCTGATGCATACAAAGAACATCACAAACTAAGCATAAAAAAACTACTAAACACACACATCAAAATGATGAAAAAAAATCTTGGAGAGCAGCCTGAGAGAATGGATGCTTTACACACAGAGAAGCAGCATAAATGAGGCCGGCTTCTTGTTTAAAAAATGGATCCGAGGAGACAGAGGTTACGTGACTACGTCTAAGACGGCTCCTGTGCATTGGCCCTGAGGTTCTTTATTTCTTCACCACAGTCTGAGCCCCGTGAGCTTACAAGCCTGCTAGCGCCGAATTCAAAATTTTATATACAGTGTCTTAAATGTAGCCCAAACAAGCATGTCCTCAGCCATCAGAGGCAGCTTGCTCTGCAGACCTCTATGAAACTGCATCCAACACCTGCTAACTATAAGCGAGGCTGTGGCCATGGGGCCCACGCGGCTGTGGCTGCCCTCTGGGGCGCTCAGACCCAGGGACTCCCTGCCGGGACGCTGACCGCATCGCCTAGCCACAGAGAGTCCCTCTCCAGTCTCTGCTCTCATACGAGTTCCCTTTCTCTTCTCCCCTTCTGCATGGTGGCTCCACAGGCAGAGCCACTAAAGTGTCACCAATAAAGCTTGTGCACACAACTGTCAGCTCACAGTCATGCCCTTGATCGGCCCTGAAATGCTCTGAACTCCCTGACACAATGTAAAAACATCTTCAAAGTGCTGAAAGAAAAAAAACAAAACTAGCAACCAAAAAGCTTGTATCTAGTAAACATATCCTTTAAGAACAGGGGTAAAATAAAGACATTTTCAGATAATTGAAGGTTGAGAGGATTCTTTGCTAGCACACATACCCACACCACAAGAAATGCTCAGGGAAGTTCTCTACATTGAAAGTGAATAATACCAGATGGAAAGTCAGATTTACAAGGAAAATGTAGAGCATCGGAAATGGTAAATATGTGGGTAAATATATTTTCTTTTCTTGTCTTCAACAGATAACTAATTACTAAAGTAAAAAAATCATAATACTGTGTTACTGGGTTTATACTGTATATATAATAAAATGTATGGCAAAACTGCACGAAGAGTGGAGACAGATAACGGAATTATTAAAAAGCAAGCAACTAAACATTCAATGTTCAAGGTAAAAGTGTTTTCAGGTAAATTAATAACAAAATTATAACTAAGCCAACTACACAGCCTGTAACGCCACACACCAAAACAATGACAGGATCGTGCAGAGGTCCATCAGTGTGCAGGGTCTCAATGTCGTCCTCAATGCTGTAGTCCCATTCCACACCCAGGTCTATAAAGGTCCGCGACTTGGCTTCTTCCCCTTTGCCATTTAAAATATAGTGGCCCGTAGCCTGGTTCTTAATAGCTAAAGGAACGAAAACGAGAAACCAGCAGGCACTTTATTTTATCGTATCGCAGAGTTGATGACCCCTATTAAGTCTGTCTATCCCCTTCTATAAGTCAAAGACTGTGCTTATTAGCATCAAACAAGCTGAAGTGAGTGTCAGCTCTGATATGAGTCCCATTTTCCTTCATTAGGCACTTAAACGTCCTCAAGAAGGATTTCTAACTAGACAAAAACAATAGCAAAAAGGTTACATAGAAGATAAAAATTAGGAAATGTTCCCATTTGAAAACACTGCCAAAGAGGTTAACAGTTTCAAAGTCACTCAGTCCTATACATTTCCTTGGAAACCTGGGAATATTTTGAAAATAATAGATACTTCTATAATAATATAAATCATGTATGTTAGTTCAGCATATAATATAATGGCTTATTTATTTACTGTGTTTCTTTTTCAAGTTAGCCAAAAGAACCTTCTTTTGGAAATTATAAACAGCCATGCAAATGGATCTGCATGCGCCAGTCAGAAACTGGACACATAGCAGATATTAGACTATTTTAATTAGACAAAATTCTCATTAGATTACTAAATTCACATGTGGTTGCTTTTCAGTCAAAGAGCTTAAAATGCAGTAAAAGTAAGGAGAGGCATATAGTCTGGCATCAACCAAAATATCAGAACTAATTTGTCAAAATAAATATGGCAAATTTTTCTGATATTACTCCTTAATTTAGTGCATTTTCACATATTTCTTTTTCTCATCCCCTAGTGCAGAGCAAAAAATGCACATACACCAGTTTGCCAAATGATTTTTTTATTCACGTAATAATGAAACAACCAAGGTTCCAACAAAAATTAAAGCTCTAATTTGAATATTTCTTGAATTAAAGGGAGAGTAATTGGGAGAAATGACCAACAAAATCACGTAATAATGCATTTATATATAACTTGAATCCTGTATAACTATGTATACATATATACATCTATATATATATATATACACACATATACATCTACAGACATATATCCATATTTATCTACATACCTATACATATACATATACATATAGATATATAGATAGATATATGACGTCTTTGACATTTCCATGTTGAAGTGCATGGTAAAGCAGAGCCAGGGGACAGAAACACTTACCAAGAATATGAGGAGAAGCCTCGTCTTCTTGGATTAACACATGTCTAGCACCAGGGGGTATATCAAACATCTTAAGGTACCCTTTGCATGTGTAGTAAATATTGTAGGAAGCAAAGGAGAAAACAAAAGCGACAACCACGGTTAGCTGAGCATTACGTTCTCACTGCTCCTGCACGCAGAAGAGGGCATCCATAAACTGAAAGAAGCAGTTTCAGAAATTAACTTCAAAACATTGGTAGCTTGTGTGACATCTGGCATGAGATTAGGGGAAACTTTTTTTTTTTAAATTAAAGAGGAAGAAAAGAGTTGATTTTGTTTCCAACCTATTAGCCATTTATCTTGTGCTGACCTGTGAATTGTGTCAATGACAATTCGGAGAAATTCTATTCTTTCCTGGGTCCTTCTATGTGATTTTAGTTTTGTAAGCCACTGTTTTGAAGTGGGGCCAATTTTTAGAGTACTTGGTTGAACTTCTGAAAATATTTTATCAGCCTCTCTATTATTTTAAAAGTCTAAGTGGTGAGTATAGATTGCCAAACTTCTAATTAATAAGATATCTTTATATTCAAAAGCCTGCCTTATTCTAAAGAAATTACAAAAGGAAAATCAGTGAGAAGCTTCCACTTTTCTTGTGATAAACTCATTTTAACCTTTAAATAAATTTTATAGTGGGAATGTTTTAAAATATATGTTGTAAATTTGACCAAACAATTTGTTTGGAAAATGTCTGCAAGTTATATCAAACACTGACTTTACATGCATCCCCTAACCTCAGTCTTCTAATGCAAAAATAATAAATTCTATATGCTTAATGAGTTGTTCAGGGTTTTAAAATCATATATCAGCCCGGCCGGGTGTGGCTCAGCGGTTGAGCATCGACCTAGGATCCAGGTGATCAGGGTTCAATTCCCAGTCAGGGCACATGCCCAGGTTGTGGGCTCGATCCCCAGCATGGGGCCTGCAGGAGGCAGCCAATCAATGACTCTCATCATTGGTGTTTCTATCTCTCTCTCTCCCTCTCCTTTCCTCTGTCTGAAATCAATAAAGATATATTTTTTTAAAAAAAAAGAAAGAAAAAAGAAAAATTATGTGTAGAAACAATTTAAAAAAATAAAAAATAAAATCATATATCAATCCTGTTATAGTAAATTTCATATATAACAAATCTTCTTAGTATTATTATATATCCTAAACATTATCTTAAGATCACTTAAATTAAAACTCCAACTATAAATCAACAATAGTCAGGGCAAATAAAGAAATCCAGTGTTACATCTCATTTCCATCAAAAAATACACAAATACAGGAAGGTGATGCGACTGATAACTTATGTTACAAAACATCCAACACAGGATGAATACTGACAGAAACTCAGTTAAAAAAGCACAACTGCTGATGGAATCAGAAAGAAACATATTTGTCATCTGTAAATGGACAATTAATATCTCCTTGTGGGTAGATTTGCCCAACTTTCTCAAAACATTCATTAGTGGCTTAACTAAATGGAATAGTAATTTTGGGTCAGGTTCTCAGCACCTGAGCCAGGGGAAAGTCCAGTACATGAGAAGTGCCCCATTTGCCAGAGCGCGTAAAGTCCAGAGTAACGTGCTTAAGATGCCAAGGACAGCAGAACAGCTTGATGCCGTTTAGGGATGCCCATCTTTCTGCTCTTTGCTACAACTTACCCAGTACATTTTTAGCTTCCCTTGTTTCAGCAAGAGAAATATTACGAGCTCCTTTGGGTAAAGTGAAGGCGCCTCTCGTCTTCCCTTAAATAGAATGTCTTTCATTAGTGGAGGTTTCATGTTTATCAAAGTCTTGCTGTTTCATTGACTATATGATAAGCTATATATATATAATATTAGGAAAGTTAAAAATATGTTCTGTAATTTTATATGTTGGAGTAAAAATGCATTTATAATAGTTAGCTAATGCCAATAAGCTGTTAATAGTCAATGAAAGTAAGACTAAGCATGAATGAGAAATGATAGAAGTGATTTGAAGTTGAATACTTGCAGATTTCATTTTCCAGCAACTTGAATTCTTTATGGCACCTCTTGCTTAAATGTTTCCCTGTTGGAAAAGGTTAATTAGTCTATTGGATGACTATACAGCCTTAGTGCAAAGAAATGGATGTCAGATTATCTCTGAACAGTTGGAATCTGTATGACTGATGAAAGCTTTCTTCTGTTCTTCTGACATTGATTTGCAGGTTTAGCATAATTTTTGAAGTGTCTGAAAAAAAGTATCACTAGCTCATATTACACATAATATGTAGAATAAATGAGTTATGGCAAAACCTTTTTTCATTACATTAATTCACTCTGGAAAGAATACAAAATGAATTATTTTACATCTAAAACAAAAATATACAACTGCAGTAAAGAACAGTAAAGTACTTCATAAGATGGAGAAAATTACATTTTACTATACCAAGCCATGATTTTTATATATATATAACATTCTAATTCTGTTTGCTTTGCTAAAATAATATAATCAGCCAGGAGGCAACATTTGCTTTATAATAATGTTCGAAGTACAAAACACAGTAAATTATAGCACAGGAATAAAAAAGACATAATAACTAGAGTCAGGGATGCCGAAGAAAACGCATTAAAATAGTCGCCTGGCTCCGCCCCGCCACCCGAAATATATCAAAGAGCGAAGCGGTGGTGTGTGGAATTGGCTTGAGCTGGGGAGCTGAGGTATAGTGAGAATAGAAAGAACAGAATTATTCCATTTGGATGAAGACCAATGCTTTTATACTTTCTTTTCTCCTAAAAAGGAAAGCTACTGCCACAACCACGTGCTCAAAGTAAACCAAATCTTTTTGTTCCTATCATGCTCTGAGAGGCAACTGTATGCTGACAGGGCTTTGGAAGAGGTAAGAGAAGTTTCTCAAGGGAAGCACCATGTCAAATTTATTTTTAAATGCCAAAATCTCAGAAACATTTGCCCAATAAATGCTTATTGAATAAGTAAATAATGTTTGCTATAAATTCAAAAAATTTAGTAATAAATATTTGCATCTAAGTCTTTTATGAAAATTCCAATGGATAATTATGAAAGTATTAATATTTTTTCATATTATTTGTGTATTTTTTCCATCTGTTGAAATTTATATACACCTAAGTCCAAGTCATTGATTCTATAACAAGCACAAAAGTTCTCACATAAGTAATTATACCATAGGCTATTTTTGTTTGTATCTCAATTTTGTTTGATGTAAAATTTTTAAATTATGTGAAAACTGGACTCTGGATTTACAGATTTATAACCAGGAAAAACTTGTTCACTTTTAAAATAAAAGAAGCAAAGCGAATGTAATATATTCAATTGTATCTAACGTTTTATGATTTTTTTTAACTTCTGATCAACAACTTATGTGCAATAGAAAATTCAAAGTAAGCATCAATTTTAATAATTAGGCCTAATACATTTTATTAAGAACAAAATAAAACACAGATTTAGCTAGTCACTATCATTGATAGTGGTTTTATCTGTTCCTTCTCAAAATTTAGTAGATAATTTTTATCCCGAGTGCTAAGGAGCACGAATTCAAAGTTTTTTAAGTAGTTCCGTATCCTTATCTGAATAAAAAGAAATCATCAGCTAATGCTCTATGTTTATAGAGAAGACGCAGCATTCCTGAAAGAAGTCTCAAAACCACAAATCATGGAGGAGAAACTCTTCCGAGGCCTCGCTTACCAAGCTTCCTGGGAGTCCTGGTGAATGTGCCCTTCACGGTTCGACAGTGGGAGTTATCTCCTCCACAGACGCCACACTTATCCTCAACCTTGTTAGAGCCGATCTCCCTATCGCAGCCCACTTTCTGGGGAGAGAAGATGGGACACGTGGCCAATTGCAATGTGTCAGGTCACGGTCAGCATCCTAGAGAATGATGGCCTTGTTTGATCAGGCAGGCCGTTGGCACTAATTCATTCTAGCTCTGATTTAAATACCTCAATCTTTTCAAGAACAAATATGCAATCAAATGCCTCATATTCTAGGTTAAATTGGACTCCGGGATAAACTTCCCCCAGTCTAATGACCTTCACATGCATTCATCATCATCAAACAGTTATTAAGCACAGATGTGGGAGGTGCTGAGGAGACAAAGTTGGTGAGCTTCCCTGGCTGCTCTCGTATTGACAAAGGTGGGTGATAAAACAGTGAGCTGGACACTGGCACAAGCTTTCCAAGCTGGCTCGGATGTAAGACGAAACTTCACCAAAGCGGCAGGACGTTCACGGTCCCTGAAGGGGCCGAGTATGTGGGAATGCGTTCAGGACTGCAGAGGCGATTCAAGCAGAGCCCCGAGGTTGTGTGTTCAGAGGACAATATTTCACCACATTTAAACCAGTGGGAGGTTGGTGTGGAGTGAGTGACGGGGGAAGGAGAGTGAAAGGTCTGCAAAGCATGGCTGTGGAGGCCCGGCTATCAGGAAGAGTTATTTTCACATTAACTACCAGGGAACTACTGAAGGTTTTCTGAGCCGGGGCAGCTCCTTAACGTAAATTGGTGTAGGGCAAACGCTATGGGACATGCCGTGGCGCTTGTAAGCCTGGGAGAAAGTGGACAGAGGAGACAGTGTGGGGGTTGAAAGATGAACAAAGCCCAGACTGTGCTTTCAGGGAACGTTCAGGATGAACTATGAGCCATCCGTGCACGTGAGGTTCGTTAATATAGCACTAGTTCTGAAGGAAAAGAAATCAAACAGGAGCGATGTGATCGTTAATAAGGATAATTTAACATGACATGTGGACATGAATAAAAAATAACCTGCATTTTAAAAAAAAAGATTAAATGAGGCAAGAAGCAGATTTTGCATCTTCAGTACTTTTGTTCTGATGTGAAACTTGGTGTTTAAACTTAGAATCAATTGGAAAGTGAGAGAGAAGGAAAGAGAAAAGTTTCTATTCTCTCTTAAGCAAAAGATAAAATACACTTAGCATTGAATTTTTTTAAAAAAAGACTTTGCATGTTAACAGCAGATAGCTACTAGTAAAATACTGAAAGCAAAGGCGCTCCCAAGTTGTATTCCCAGCCTATAGACATCAGAGCGACTCAGGAAAAGCATGTGACTGGAAACTGGGAAAACTGCATTTACATCTTGATTCAGCCAGGGAGCAAAGCTTGATTTTACTGAGTGCAGTTTCTCCCAGATTTGGTTTAGCTAGTGTACTGCTCATACAGTCACATAATAATGCAATTTCACAGATAAGAAATAGTTTCGAAATCCTGAGAATACGCAGAAGAGTGATAGCAAAAGAGGAACTGCCACGCTCGGCGGGGAGCTCACCACACACTCTCCTCGCACGCAGATGCTGTAGGGGTCTTTGTAAGAGCAGCGCGTCCCGTCGTGCACCAGCTGTTTCATGTAGGCGACATCGCCGGTCTCTTTGGATTGACAGTAAAGGTGGCATCTTTTCTTGGCTGCGTAGGACGGAGGATTAAACCAACTATGTAAAGTGGTATATTTGAACAGTATCATGTATTTTATTTTTTAAATATAAAGTTTCAGCCCGGCCGGGCGTGGCTCAGCGGTTGAGCGTTGACCTAGGATCCAGGCGATCGGGGTTCGATTCCTGGTCAGGGCACATGCCCGGGTTCGGGCTCGATCAATGACTCATCATTGATGTTTCTCTCTCTCTCTCTCTCTCTCCCTCTCCTTTCCTCTCTCTGAAATCAATAAAGATATATTTAAAAAATATATTTTTATATATAAATATATATATATATATAAAGTTTCAGTGTGACTTACTGAAAACGAAAAAGGTTATAAACAAATCAAGAGACAGGGAAATTATACACATGTAACATATCTGCTTCAACCAGGGTGACCATATGATTTAACATCTAAACTGGGATACTTTGAGAGTGAAAAGGGCTCTATTACTCATTACACAGGGACAGCAGGTCTAAACTGGGACTATCCCAGGCAAAGCAGGTTGTACGGCAACCCTAGATTTAACCACAGCTCTTCAAATACTTTCCATCAGAGCCACCTAACCTTTAGTGACGCTTAGCGCACCAAAAGGGTTTCTCTTTCATTTGACCCAATGACCTAGTACAGTTTTTGCCTCTGTATAACCTCACTTATTAAATTTAATATAATTTATGTAACTCACTTCACCAAAATAGATTTAAAAAATAATGCATTTCTTCTTAATGTACTGCAACTTTGAATTCCTACGTGGATGCATCTTTCTTTTAAAACAGCTTTTTAAATTTAACTCAGCAGTGTATTATATCATATGATAATTATGGAACTATTTTCTTTTATTTACCCAAATAAGAAATATAGTGAGAAGTTCCCATTTGAACATATTTAACTGGAAAACTCAAGGGTAAGAAGAGAAACACTAAAAGGGACTTTCCAAGCGTATTTTTAAAAATCTAGTGTAGGACACAAAAGTAAGAAGATTATGAAGTTTCTGTGGTTATTAAATAATGGTCTTTTTCTTACTCCTGACCCACTGGAAAAGAACTATATTTTCCTCTAGCTATTCAGGAAGGACAGATCACAATATTCCAGAAGTGTTTCCTAGTAGAGGGATTTCCATTGAAGGAGGAAACTCCACATCTCTTCCACGCTTTTCATTTTGTTTGCTTTCCACTGGTCTTTTTGGTAGTGATGGTGGCAGTCTGCTTGCCAGGAACTATTCCACAGTTCTCACCCCTCTAGGGAAAGGGGAACGTTAACCTTCTTCTCGAAAGCCAGAGGGATTTTACCCCTTAAGCACCAAGGTTCCTAAGTCACCAAACGGATCACGCGTCCAAGGGACGGGAGTGGAGAGCGCGTGACCTCTCAGTCGCCACCCAGCAGCGGGCGAGAGGGCGTCCACTCACCGTCAGGGTGCTCGTAGGGCAGCCAGTGGTGTTTACTGCTCTGGTATTCAAAGTGGGAGTTTCGCTGCTGGCACTGCTGTGCCCTGAAGTCCTCAAAGTGTTTTTGGCACTCGTCTGTATTACAAAGCTGGTACTCAAAATTAACACCCGGACAGTCCTGACCGCCATTGATGGGCCTAAAGAAAAGACAACATTTAAAAAGGCCTTTTGGCGCCGGTCCAGCAGCTGAAGCCTGCAGACACAGCGCTCGAGAGAGGGCAGGAAGCCAGAGCTCCTGAGGGGCCAGCGCCAAGTGAATGAACTCATGCTTCCTCATTTCCATCCCTGCCCAAAAGCACCGCCCTCTCCCCGCTGGGGCGGGGACGTGGGGCAAAACGCAACTTACAGTGGCTTTTCAAACAGTGTACTTTAAATGCATGGCAAACGCAGATAAAGAAGAACATAGATATGGACCCAGGAAATTTATATTTCCTACCACGCATAAAACACACAAGCGCAGCCCAGAGAGACTCTGACCACAGCTCTGTACCTCAGTTTCCCATCCTTTCTTCCTTAGAGAAAAACTGAGAGGACTGAATGCGTTAACATATTTAAAACACTCACAACAGAGTGTGGCTCACAGTGAAACTTAGCTGCTCTTACTCCTGTAGATTGTATTGTTTTTGTGACTTCCACTGATACTAGCATCACCTCTTCCCATGAAGACAGGCATGTGACACCGAGTCTTCATCAAAGACGTTCAGAGCCAACGTGCTGCCAGGCACAGGGCTGCTCACATGCTAAACCCAGACGAGGGAGAATGTCCTAAGTGCAATATTTTGGTTATTTTTTTCCCTTAGAAAATAAACTTTCTTGAGTGCACAAGAGGGATTCAATCCATTCAGTCTGAGTGAATGAGCGGATAACTTCCCCCACAGTTCCTTGCCTTCTCTCAGCACCCTTTCGTTGTTGTCGTTGTTGCCCTGCTCTGAAACATCCGCTCCTACGTCCGAGCGAGCGAGCGTCCGTACTTGGTGCTCCTCCTTCCCTGAAACACCCGCGCTTCTTACAGCGAATCTCAGGCCCTCGGCTCCCAGGCCCTAGAGTGCAGTGATGGGCTTCCCCTGCTCAGTTCCTTAATATTCCAAAGCAAGTTTCTTCAAAATCTCTAATCTCCGCTCAAGCCTCTCACCTTCACCAGGGACTACACTTCACAAAATTGATAAATGAAGATGTACCCAATAGAGACACTTACCCCCTTAGTTTTCATGTTCTGTGTTTAACATGTACTTCATGAAACAAATAATAATGACATTATATTGAAGCATTTTCTGGCCTATCCAAAAATAACCAGAACTACAAGGGTCATACTCACATTGGATTATTGCACTGGCGTGTCCTGAAACGAGCACCAGTTCCACACGTCCGGGAACAGGAGCCAAACTTAGTCCATGACCCCCAGTTGCCATCTTGTTTTTGCTGATTAGCGTTCTTCCACATGCAGTGGCCCTTATAGCACCACTAGGGAAATGACAAAGGCAATTATGATAATCAGGCATATGCTAACGCTGGAGTTGTTATACAAGAGCTGGAATGGAAGGGCTTCATTCCCCAACCCCACCAGGTGAAAATGTATTTAAAATGACCCCAAAGCAATGATAACAATAAGGTTCTCTATGCAAAGGGTAATTTAGATGTGCACTTTTAACTATAAAATTGAAATAAAAAAATAATTCATTCCAATGCATTTTTATAGGATACATTTACTGGTGAGGATCAATCATAACCAATAAAAATTATCTGGGCACCTACGTACAATAAAAGTATTTCAGGAAGTTGGATGTTCAGAGTTTATTTGGAAGATATCTTTTCCATAAAGCAAAAATGAATCAACTCATTGTTGCTCTTGTTATTTTAGTCAAAAGTCTGTAATACCAAATTTTCCCACAGTAGCACACCGTATGTAATGTGTTTAGCATAGTGCCTAACAAAGTTTGAACATGGATAATGGCAGGTTTTATTATTACTGTTATTATGCTTGTAATCTTCATTGCAAGTACAGTTTATACACATTTGAAATAGAGCTTTAAAGGGCATTAAAAGAACTAAAAGCTATATAAATCTTCTTTGCCAGCTTTTGGCCCTCTCAATAATATCTTATTTCCAAACTAGTCAAGGCATTTCAACTTGAGTTCTTAACATGCCTTTGTTTTGGGATGGGTGATCTTTGAGTAGGGTAGCTGGCACTTGGCCAGTCTTTGAGCATTTAATCCTGACTGCACAACTTGAGATTCAAAACCTCTGGCATCTTTCCCCAAGGAGCAAGGCCAAATCTTCTGTGTAAATTCACAGGACTTTATTTCTGAACAACTTTCACAAGGAGTGGGAGGCCAGCAAGTAAATCAAATCCCATTAACAGGGTCCCAGATATTCTGCTGGCTGCTGCTTCTTGGTCTATCAGTAGTGGGCTGAATAGTGGTTCCAAAGGTCCTAGAATCTGTAAATGTTACCTTATTTGGAAAACAGTCTTTGCAGATGTGATTAAATTAAGGATTTTGAGGGGAGGTTATCCTGGATTATCCAGGTGGGCCCTGAATGTAATCATGTGTATCCTCATAAGAGAGGGGCAGAGGGACATTTGCACACAGAGGAGGAAAGGAGAGCAATGTGGTCATGAAGTCAGGGACTAGAACGGTGCAGCCACAAGTCAAGGAATGTGGGCAACCACTGGAAACTGGAAGAGGCAAGAACACATTCTCTATTACAGCCTCTGGAGAGAGTACGTTCCTGCCCACACGTTGATTTTGGCTCAGTGAAACTGATTTTGGACTTCTGGCAGCCAGATATATGAGAAAGTACATTTCTGTTGTTTTAAGCCACTGAGCCTGTGATAACGTGCTAGAGAGATCATTGGAAACTACTATACAATGTTAGCACATTACCGTAATGAAACCTCACAAGTTATGGTACTCATGAAAATGAAATAGAGCTTTGTGCATCATTTTCCAGACTTTTAAAGGTGATTAAATCTTCATGGAATAGACAGACTCACTTTTCCAGCAGCACATTCAGTCCCATCAAGTGGGGGTCCCTTTTTAGTCTTACAAAAGTAGGGGTTATCAGGATGGCTACACCACAGCTGTTTACATGGGTCAAACGTTCGGAACTGGAAGAGAGAAAATAAAAATTTCAATGAAATACAGACAGCAGGACATACTCCAACAATATCTTCTATTTTAATTTCAAGTCAACAGCCAAAGTCGTGGCATGCTGAGAAAAAAATACTGCCTAAGAATTCCAAGTAGAGAATATTTTTATTCTGCTTTTTAAAATAATAGTGATAAACAATGATTTGTCTGGGATTCTCTAGTTGACTCTTAATATTTCTGCATGCAATTTCTATTTTCTGGTTTTCAAACAGACAATGCTGGAATTTTTAAAAATGTAATTATTATGAATGTTTTAAATATGAAAATGTATTATAATGATCATGCAGCTCTCAAGCTACCAACATGGCTTCTCTTCACCCTTGTAAGTATGAACCAGTCAGATATAAGTAAAAAAATGCCCATCATAATGAACTGACTAAAAGCAGAAAATATCTGTCAAACTGTCTATGTAAGATAACGTATTCCGGGTGTAACAAACTATTGCAACACATTCATGTAGTTTATAAATTAATTTCCAACTAGAGAAAGCATGCAAGAGATATAGAAATATTTGTTATTTGCATGAACCACAATTGTTTAGGTCAGGATATCTATTGAAGACCCATGGCTCAATAAATTCTGCTAGCAGGTTTGAATATGGCATTTGGCACTACAATATTAAAAAATAATAATGCCAATCAACAAATGAATAACAAATTCTTAGTTCCCTAATTTTACATTTGTTATGTAAGATTTGATACAGATGAATATAGGTAACGTGTAAGTTTTGAAGCATTTTATAAAACAAGCACTTGCAAACACACCACCACAAAAAAAAACTAGAAAATTCCAACACCATTAAATCTACCAATATATGCCTCTACTAGACAAGCTCCTTACTTTCCCTCAAACATAACTAACCAGGATTCTGAATTTATTATTTCCCTATTTTTTGTATTCAGCTGTTTTCTCACATGTCTAAACTAACAAAGCTATAGTTTTGGACTTTTATAAAAATGGGGAAAAAAGTACTTTCCATGTATTTGAGTCTCACAACAATCCATGGCTGAGAAATATGGGTTACAAGGTAAGGAAGTTATGGCTACAAGTGAGAGAGTAACAGAGCCAGACTAGAACCTTAGTTTTCTCAATCTTAAGATTGTTTTTTATTTTCCTAAAACACTTGATATTGTCCAAATACATGTGTCAGTACACATACTTCTGTGTGCTCTTTACTTGTCCGCTCTCCTTCTAACTGTAAACATCTTCCCATTGCCTACACCACTAATTATGTACAGCCTATGGTCAGAGCTTCTTCTTAGTTAGCGCTCATTTTGGACCTGGGTTTTTTGTTCTACTTCCTATTACTTAATGCAGAAACATTCCCACCATGTTGAGCCCACACTTTAGAATTCTCCAGTCAAAACATTAATGCAGGTGATTAGAAGCTGACAACCTACAGTCCAAATGGCTGAGGCTATCGGCATATGGAAGATTTGAAACAGTAGATCAACCTATTTTCAGTACCATGAAACACTTATTTTTCTGGCTCTAACACATAAAGCTTGCTCCAACATATGAAAAAACATTTATTTTTAATGAACTACTACATCTAAACATGGAAATTTAATGAAACATACCTTCAATCTGAATAGCTACATGGAAGACTGGCTCTACTGGATTCCACTGAGCATTTACTATGTGCCTGTACTGTGCTAAGCACTTTGGTTACATTATCAAATTGAACCCTGACACCAATTCTATGAGATAAAGACTATTATTATCCACATTTTACACATGAGGAAACTAAATAGAGAAATTTAAGAAAGTGCTCGAAATCATGCATCTAATAAGTGTAAGGTCCAGGCCCTCATGACCCACCAGCCTGGCTGTGAAGCCCATATTCCTGACCTCCATGCTCTTCCATATGATTCTCACATGAGAATAAACCAGTACCACCCTTCCCTTTGGTCACAGTTACATGGAATCCTGGCCAACAAACTAATAAAAAGCAACCTGTATAAGGCTTAAATGTCATCTCTGAAGGTCACAAAAACCAAGGGAGTAACAGAACATAAAGTTTGGAGCTGGCAACCTTGGTTTCCATATCCAGGTCCCCTATTTAGCAGATGTGTGATTTAAGCAAGTTCCTTAATCTCTGTAAATCTTGGCTTTTTCAACTATAAAAGTATACCAACTTCCATTTAGTGTTGTCACGAAGATTAAATAAGATGGTGTACTTAAAGCACTTAGTTTTAACACATAGTGATATGCAAACACAAAATCATTGGAAGAAATTCCTGTCCTCGCACCAGTGAGCCTATAAAGCTCACCAAACAGGAGCCACACGAAACAGATTTCAAGATGCAAGACCTGAAGCGACTGTGAGAAACATACCGCAGTGCACATTTTATAACCAACCCCAAAGTCAAAGCGACACTGCTCATCCATAGAATAATTGATTCCAGGAAGTTCTGGGAGTTTGGGCCAATCATGTTCAAAAGGGTCATCAAGGAGACAGTCATAGGAACTGTAGGAAGGAAAACATCGCATGTGGTTAAATGCTCATTCCTTTATCTTGTCCTGATGAAAAGAGTGTCCTTAGCTTACCTACTCTGGGATTTCATTAGATCACAGAGCAAGGTCACAAAAACTTATCTCTGAAGGATTTTGGTTTTCGTTCCATTTTTTAAAAAGACCTTTTACCCTTATTCATCCCGGGGAAGGAGTCAGTGGTGACTCGGACGCAGTGTAGCTGCGACGCCTTGTTGGGTCCATGCTGAGCTCCTGCAGAGTGGCGGAGCGAGCCTGACCCTATGCCACAGGGTAGGGTGGTACATTATGAGGGCATCACGGACCATCCCCCCTCATCCTCAGCTCAAATTTGACCATGAGTCGAAGATTCCATAAAGAATTTACCCAAAAAAATTACATTAAAAAAATCACTAAATTCTAGGCTTCTGGCTCGAACTACTGTGATGATATCAGGGAATCGCTGTGCCGGGAGCTCTGGGTCGCGAGCAAACGCTCCCTGGGACGGGTTGCCACCCCCTGGAGCTGCAGGTGAGCAGCAGGCCCGAGTGGCCCGCGGCGCCTCTGCTGCACTGCGGATGCTGCGCGGGGGGACTTACTGGATGTATCTCCTCAGCTCCTGGCCGCTGCAGCGGGACCAGTGGTAGCGGTGGAAGGCCGCCTGCACCAGCGGGGCCATGACGCTGCCCAGGGCCGTCTCGTCCCCACACCGGTTGCCCTGGCCGTCGTGCTCCATGCCCAGCCTGCAACGCCAAGGAGACCTGCCCGGTGAGGCCCGGGGCCGGGCTCCCGCCTGGCCTGGCTCAGGGATGAACAGTGGGTGATGCCCGTTTGCTTTCGCCCGACAATGCTGACCCGGTGCCCTGGCAGCTCAGCTCCCGGGGCATCACCCGGCCCCTGCGGCACAGTGGGTGTCGCCAGGCCGCCCGCCGGAGCTGCAGACCCCCAGGCCCAGTGGGGGCTGTGCAGGGAGACCCGCTGCTCTTAGGCGGACACGGCCTTCGCGGGGCCACAGGCACTGCGGGGAGGAGACTGGACGGAAATGCCTCTGATTTTGTAGCCGGGAAAGGGCAGGGGTGCCTGCAAACCAGAGCGGCTCCTCTGGTTTCGGGGTGCGCCCCTTGGGCGCCCGCTCTCACACCTGGCAGGGCGGGAGGAAGGGAAGAACCTGTCTTGGCCTTCTAGCCGCCAGCAGGGACTTACACGTGGCCGGTTTCGTGGGCTACTACAAAAGCAGAGGAAAAACCGTCCTCATGATTCAGGGTACAGCTTCTCACCGGATGACACATGCCCGTGACTGGAGCGTATCCTGTAGAGCAGAACAATTACTTTTATTTTCATTTTCTGAGAAAACCCATTAAGAATTACTACTGGACCTTTGCCTAGAAAAAAGTGAAAAAGCTTTTCAGGAAACAGAGGCCATGTTAATCCCCCGCTAGCACTGTGCCACGCTCTCTTGGGAAAGCCACAGGTAATGGTCTTGAAAAGATTCACGGGGCCTCCGTTTCCCCCTTTCCTAAGGGAAGGAACTGCCCGGGTGACCATTCTGTCCGGCCACCAACGAAGCCTCGTCTTTCAGTTTTAGTGAATGGTCCTTCAAACCGTGGTACCGGTGAAGGGAGCCAGAAATTCCATCAACATTGAAAAGAAAATCGTCAGTCTACTTTTTCCAAAGCCTACACCAGAATTGATTAGATCACTGTAAGCTGACTCAGGAAGAGAGCTTCTTGGCAGCAGCCATTTCTCATGGCATCTCTTTCCCATCTCAACACTGAGTGGAGATCAGCTGCATTTTACAGCACCCCCTCCATACCCCAAATCCACAATCATTATGTTAAAGGCAAGTATAATTTATGATAGTATTTGAGTGGCATTTAACATGGTGAATTCCACAGAAGTCAGTGGGAGCAATAGAAAGAAAGTNCTCCATACCCCAAATCCACAATCATTATGTTAAAGGCAAGTATAATTTATGATAGTATTTAAGTGGCATTTAACATGGTGAATTCCACAGAAGTCAGTGGGAGCAATAGAAAGAGTGTGCTTGGCTGATGCATGGTGGAAAGGGGATGGAGGCAGAGATATGAACATTTGAACACACTCCCTGATTTAGGATTACTTTAGAAAAGTCATGCCCGTAAGCTTTTCTTCTGCACGGGAATGGAAGTACCTTGCATTCCAGCAGGTCCAAAGTCTTGCCTGGTTAAGAAAATTGCATGATCATGGTGTTCAGAGTGGTTGGGATCAGATTTTTGTTGTTGGCAAGCCCAGCGGCACACATTCTCCAAACTTCTGGATGGGTTTCCCCTTTCTATGAGGCTGATGGACTGCATGGGAACAATATGTTGAAGACAAACATAACATTTGCCCAAAGGCTCTCCTTAATAACTTGAGCTAAAGTTAACATTTGGGACATTTATAGCATTTGAATAATGTTCAGTGATATTATCTGGGGCTTATTTAGACATCTACTTTAGCCTGGGAATTCTAAATGCCCATGAAGAATCTCTTTATGATAACCAACATCACCTGTGAGAAAGGTGACTGACACCATACAAGGGAATATGTGATGCTGAGATTTGCTATTGTGAAGCAACTCAATGTTAGTCTTTGGGGTAAGAGCTCTAGCAGTCTAAATATTTCCTAATTCAGCTTAGATTTTCAGTTTCGTAGATATTAAGAATAAAAATAGAGGGAAAGAATCTGGCATAAGAGCTGTTTAAAGTGAAAGATCTTTAGTTAAGTTTGTTGTTGTTTGTCCAGAATTAATCAATATATGAGGAGTATATAAGTTCCTCAATAAGCTGGCAAAGCTTGTCAAATCTTATGGGGGGTGGTCAAATTCTATAAACCTCACACTGTAGAAAACAACTTCCCTTTTTTAAGCTCACAGCAATAAAGAGGGTGCACGCTTATCTTGTGGTTCCAACAGACGGACTGAAGTTCCTTGGAATGTTGCTACTGTCACATTATGTTCAGGAGGTAAAAGTTCAGAGGGAAAGGGCCCATCCTTCAAGAACCCAGGAGCCACACTTCCCAGAGTAGCTCTGCTGGGATGAGAAATTGAACTTGCAACCCAAAATTAGTCCCTGCTTGGCTGACAGGCTGAGAGTTTTGTTATATTTCAGCAAATGTTATTATCAGTGTTTACATTCTTACCAAAATTAGCTTGGTTTGTTATATGCTGATCACATGCTTCTCAAAAAAAAAGATTTAACAGCCAATGAAGGCTGTTAGCATCTCCAGCTGGAGTTGACTTATATTCAGTGTTATTGACACAAAGTCAGTCAGGTTTATGGGATAAACTAAAGATCAATGACACCCTCTCATCAGAATATGATTAAGTGGATGTTAAATACATAACAAAATGCAAGCACATGGATTGTTTTCTATTTGCCAAATATAAAATTTCATCAGTATTTCATAATCAGAAGATTTTAATTATGGGAGGGGGCATACAATTTTAAACATCAAGAAAACTGCCAAGTTAGTCACTTCCCCTATTTTCTCTCCTCAAAGGGAGAAACCATTTCATCCTGTTCATTATTTCCAAGGACAGGGACACACCAAGTGCCATTTTAAAGTCAACTACAGTTAGTTATATCACATGAAATGCCTGCTGTGTGCATTTTGACCCAGCTTTTAATTTTCAAAAGGACTAAAGCTCTTTTAAATGAAAATATTCACTGTGTGCTTTACTTTTCTTACTTGGAAAGACATACACATAAAATATTATTTTTAACAAATCATGTGAGGGCAAGGATCTTTGTCATTTTCTTCACTGATATATCTGAAGCACCTTAAAAGCATCTGGCACACACTCAATATCTATGTTTTGAATGAAAAAAAGAATCATAAATTTGATAACACTGATAAGACTAAGGAATTTTTCTTTCCTCACAATGGTGTCCATTCCCCCCTCCCACTCATATAGTCATCATACTTGATATCAGGTAACTATCTTTTACTCCATTACAGAGGTAAACAAAGGAAATGGTACCAGCACAAAAATCATTCATTACCTGCTCAAATTTGGAGATCTCCACTCAGAGCAGCCGTTTTTCTTCTTCAGTTCAGTGCAACTGAGGTTTACATGAGACTTATCTATGCCATATGTCAGCTATAGCTTGAAAATTTTAATCTTCTGCCTGCTAACCCAGTTCTTAACATTCAGAGTTCACATATTTTAAGAGGCTTACCTTTGCATAACCCAGCATGATCATACGCACCAGGACCACATTTATATGTATTCCGAGGGACTCATCATGGTAAATTTCATTCACCTGGAACCAAAGCAGATAATTACTGAAAGGAAGGCAACACAAAGGATTTTGTGAAATGAGTAATAATTAAGGGATCAGCCATGTAATCCCAAGTACTAAAGTCAAATCACTTTTTAAAAAAATTTAGTTTAAGTTGGACTCTTCGATGAAACCACTTACCTTTAGCTTTGGAATAATTTTTAGATATGTTAATTATTGAATTTGTAAACTCCGGATTATCATGAACAAAGAGAATATGCTTTAAAAAGGGACTCATTAAACTACTTGTAGTTAGAGTCAACAGGTGCCGTAATCCACATAGAACATTCACCAAAAGCAACCGCTAGAGGGCGACGCCGGGGAAGCGTCGGCTGGCTGGGTGGCAGCAACCGTGGAGGGGAAACTAGATTCTGCATTTGCCTGCTGGAGTGCCCATGTCCTAGCAGGGGTGTGTGTCAGATCCAGTGTTCAGTGATGGGGCTTTCTCAGTGCCTCCCCACCCCAGTAGTAATCCTGGGCAACGATTATTTAGAAGTCCGACAGAACAGAAATCCTTCCATATTTGAATTACCAGCACAACTGTGTAAGTGCACATCAGATGAATGTCAGCCCTGGATAGATCTCAGAGAAGCAAAGTTGAGTAACTGCTTTTACTTAATATTTAAAGTTTGGTTGAAATTTCTAAAAGTGGCTGGGTATGCTGTAAAGTCATAAATAGTACAATTAAGCAACCTCAGAGGTCATAGTCCAAGATAATTTTATATGAATGAAGATGAAGACTATAGATATTAACTGACATACAAAAACACACAGTGTTATTGGCACATATGAATCCAAAATGGACTGTCACTGTATTTTCTGCAGAACTTAGTGCAAATTAGTGTGATAAGGAGCACTGGGTAACTTCACAGATGCCTGCAGGAACGGGAAAGGTGAAGTTATCCAACTAGGTTACAAAGGTAGCTGTTCCCAGGAGCAGGGACCCAACATGGCACAATAACTAAAGGAGGGATGGAAAACCAACTGCAATTCCACTTGAGATCCAGGAGGTTTGAACAGTAAGCACGGCAAATTAAAAACCTACAGAGGAAATATAGGCATAAGCTCCTAGAGAGAAGATTTAAAAAGAAATATAACTCCTTCCATCACCATTGGAAGGAGAGTTGACTTGGGGGTGAATATACAATGCAGTATAGGATTATACACCTGAAACCTATATAATTTTATCAACCAATGTCACCCCAATAAATTCAATAAAAATTTTAAATAGATCATGTTTGGAAAAGGTAAAAGAAAAGAAATATAACTCAAGAATTATAAAATGCTCTAAAAAAAAAGAAGAAATTCATGAATCATAAAATCGTGAAATGGCCAAGATACAGACCAAGAAATCTCAAATGAAATGTTTCAAGAATCTAATAAGACTGCAGAGAACACCTTAAAAAGCCAACGCCTTAAACGTGGACTAAAGGCATACACGGAACAGAAAAGTGAGCAACTAAGGTAGAGGAAGACCTGCCGAAGCTACATGCTGGAGACGGCCAAGTGTGGTTTAACAAGAAAAGATGGAAAGTCCTTTTACGTGGAAAAGTGCACGCCTATGAACACATTCGTTTACAGCTACACACACAAGCACAGCACGTCGAGGCCCGATTTAATACGCGTTCAAGATAATCCAAGGGCTGAAAAAGGAATGCAATCGGGTGCGCAGGGGTAGCTCATCCCCGGCTTCGCCCCTGCAGGCCAAGGGCCCCTGCAGTACTGAGTCCCGCTTGTCTGTGCTGTCATATAAGAGGTATTGACAAACACAAATGCACCCAGAGAAGAGCAAAGAGCAAGGGACCCAGAGAATGTGTCACATAAAGAATGACTGGGGAGACCTCGTGGCTAAGTGCCTGACACCAGGCGCTAACAGTTTCAGTGGACATCCTGGTCCAAGCCCTCATTGCTTGTGGTCTTCAACTTTCTGAGCTTCAATCAATAATAGTAACAAAATAAGAGATAATATTTATTACGTCATAATTAAATATTATGTCATAATAAGAACAGGATCTCAGAGGGTTAGGTAAGAATGAAACTATTTGACTCCTGCAAACAAATCGCTCAAAAAAATTTTAGTGAGAGGGAGGGAGGGACACTAAAGTATGAGAAGTAGAAGAGAACACCCTACAAAGAAGACTTCATAGCAGCCATGTGGAAAATGGCTATTCTGTGTATTTATCTAAAAATCATGAGTTAACACTATGAAAGGGGTAGATTTCAGGTAAATATAAGGAAAAACTGAATGCTGGACAAAAAGCTGGTTTCTTATGACCTTTCCTGGTCATGGGCAGATTCTCTCATCTTGCTCCCCACCACCTAACTGGAAACTGAGTGCCCCCCTTCTTCTGGGTTAATTATCTAATAAGGAAGTCCTAGCATTAATATGCCAATAAAATTCACCCAGAGGCTCAAGGATATTCCCAGAGACTCTCTGTAAGGCGGCTGTTTTGAATTAGCGACATGGCTTCCTTCACTCAGCATGTAATTCGCTTAATGCAACTGAAATGTAAACGCAGTCACAGTGAAAAAAAAAGTTTGCAAGCAATGCTAGTAAATACACAAAATAGGAGAACAATACAAATTAAAACTAAAGGAAAGCAGTTAGGTTTAAAACAAAAAGCGACTTAGTTTCTGGAGCAGGGGTCATAGAAAGGAGCCACTGCAGAACAGCAGTGACGGTTACACTTTTAAGTGTTACAAGAAAAATCCACATCAGAAAGCCCTCGAACCATAAAATTAACAAACGTTGGTAATACGGCAAGTAGCCTGTGACAGTCGAGTCCCCTAAATTAGGAGATTCCTTTGCACTTGGTAAATTTTACAGTCAGCACAATGCCAAGGAAAGGATACTGGACACAGTTCATGCTGTTAATGGCAATATCACACAGACGGATGTCGTCCATGCCATGGAAATATTACATTACAACATGACGGAATAAAAGGGCACTTTAAAAAGTTTACCATTCACCGAAAGAAAAGCTTTATTTAACCAAAGGCACTGTCATGCCAAGTGAATTAGGTGACGATTCTGATTCCGAAATGAGTTACGGAGTGCTCTGAGTCAGCACACATTCGTGACACTGTCACAGGGAGGCCGAAATTTCATGGGAAGAAATAATCAAACATAAGGCAGTAAGATTTATACATAGAAGAAAGTATTCTTTCATGTGGCAAACCCACAAAAATTGGTGTCTGTATTATGCAAAGTACTGGACATTACTTATTACTTTGCCTTTCAAGGTTTAAAAAGTCTCTCCCTATACATTATTTACTTTTAAAGTGAACTTAATAATCTGGCTGCTTTTCATATGCCAAGCCTTATCAATAACAGGATGCAATGTTTTTATACTCTGAGACATAGTGGATACGATAAGAGTTGGAGAAATAATCAGAGCCTCAGGATCAGCTAGTCAAAGACCTGGACTTGGTCCCAGTTATGCAACTGATAAACTGAGTGACCCCAGTTAGTCACTTAACCTCTCTGACCTCTGCTTTCTCCTTGGCAAATTACATTTGGGCTTGCTCTGCCTACATCCCAGGGCTGCTCACATCCAGCAAAATGCCACACAACTGCCCTCAGCATCATACGAAGCACTTGAGCATTCTTCCACGGTCCACGCAAAAAGTTTTAAAGGTTTGTGGATGTGTTTTCATATTCTCTCTGAAAACAGCTAGAAAAACAACTGACCCATCTTAGTTTTCCCTGAAAGAGAAGTGAAGACTCATACTTGGAATGTGTTTAATTTTAACTGAATGAAAGATGTAGTTTAACTTGTCCAAAAAACCTGACACTATTTTTTTTTTAAAAATACCGTCTAAATGTTGTACAAAAGTTCTTTCCAGCAGATGGCAGTATGGACATTTTAGAGGGGCTAACGGACTGGCAACTTAATACACCTGAAGGTACTTCACACCAGTGGGTGTGTCTGCCTTTTCCTATATTTACACATAAATAACTTCCTTAAAATTAAATAAGTATTTAAAAATATTCTAACCCGAGGAAAACATTGAGTTTTGAGTACTTTACTCATTTGGTTCTTGAAAGCAAAGAAAAATATTTAAGACACCTTTACTTAGATTGCTTTTCAGTGTCATCTGATTAAAACATTATGAGGCATAAAGAAACTCCTTTGACTTGGGTATAAATTAATCACAAACTTTAATAATCAATAAACGACACAGAAAAACTAGAAGCATATCATTCTAAATTAACCATTTAAATCTGTCAAGATAAACTAAAATAATATTTGTTAAGAAAGCATTTTTACAGTTCTTAGTGACGTGGAAAGCAATTTTCTTCCTAAGTAACAGCAACATCGACAACAAACAAACACAACAGCTAATATTACATAGAGCTTTCCAGGTTCCACACATGGTTCTAAATACTTATATTAGTTCACGTAATCTTTGCAATAACGTTAGAGATATCTCCATTTTACATCTAAAGACACTGAGCGTCCCCCCACCCCCCAAAAGGGAAGAAATTGAGGCCCAGAGAACTTAAGCAACTTGCCCAAGGTCACACAGTTAGCAGACAGAGGGAGGGATGAACACCTAGGTGGTCGGACTCCGCAGTCAGTGCTCTTCAGCGTAATGCTGCATTCCCGCAGGCCTGCAGGCCCAGTGCAGTCACTATCCACAGAAGGTCGGGTTTCACAATAATCAGTACTGATTTGCTACCCCTGAGTTTTAAAAAGTGGTGAGGAATCATATTGGTAAAAAGAACTTAAAAATTTCACTTCCTTTTCATAACCTTTCCTCAGGTAAATTTTAAGGAAATGAGAAATGGGATTCAATGTATTATAAATAAGAATTTCCTGATTACGAATATAATGGTATTAAAAAATATATCCAGAAAAGATAAAGAGGAGTTAGAGCACATCACTGGAAAAAAATAGTAAAAATAGAAAAGATAGGGCTGAAGCTGATAACCAGTATTTTGGGTTGTAAGAAAGCGTCAGGCACAAGCATTCTAAGTA